GGCTCATGTTAAGATGCGACATAAATGCAAATTGCTGTTTTGTTCTTGCAGCATGTTTTGTTGCGAACCATGGTGAGATTAACATGAAGTGTTTGCTGTTAAATAATGTGTCGTACTTTAAAGTATTCCAAAATCAAAGCTACAGCACAGAAACACACCCTGGCCAGAGTCACCAAACCACCATTTCTGGTGGAATTCTTCAGGCGACCACTGACTGACTGCTTCTGATCTCAAGATGGGGCAAAGAGCTGTACTTAAACATCTTGATTGGCCACATATGACCCTGATTCTGGCCTGGGGAATAGCAGTCCATGAAAGGAATCAATGCTATATCCAACCACACACAGCCGGGGATAGACAATTCAAGTGCAAATACTACATAACTTGAAACCTTTCCTATTCATATACCTGCATCTACCACTTCCTCTGGCAGTCCATGCCGTGTACAAACCATACATCTCACCAGATTAGAATGTACATCCCCACGGCCACGACTGCCAACATCATCCTCTCCGAGCAGTGCATCGCGAGGACGTACCAGAGGAGCTATGGGTGGTCGACGTGATGCACATCAAACACGAGCACTGCACAAGAAGCCCACCCAGCAGATTTCTCTTCCTGGCAAATGCACAGTATTCTCGGTCACCTGCATGCAAGGTTAGACCTTTATCTCTCACCTGACCTGCTGAGTATTTCTGGTAGGTTCTCCAAGATTTCCAGAACCTGCAGCATTGTTTTCCCATTCCCAATCTCCTGCAGCCAACATTGAGCTTCACCCAGTGGTTCTCCAACTTAGATATCAACGTTATAGGGAATAATATATCAACATAGGGAATAAGGCAAAGCTGCAACCAGTTTATCTTTCTCAGCATTATCTCTACGTTAAGTCAAACTTGTCAATTCATGAACAAAAGACCAACTCTAATGTTGCAGTGGGCTGTCTGCAAATTAAATATTAATTTCTCACTGATCAGTCAGACACTCAGAAGAAAGCTTGGTGTTTTATTAATTTGATTGCATTGGCAGGGGAGGAAAGATAAAAAAAACATGCGTTTTCTCAAATCACGTTTGTACTTACAGCTCAGAAATGTGAACATGTAATCAGATCATTGGATATTATGATCATGTGTATTAGTTTGAATATATTAGTTAAGTCACGCACACCAACCTGGAATGTAGACTGTGTGAACATGGTTGAGTAGAGATATATGGCTGCGTACGTAGGTATCGGACTACAAATTATAATCAGCAGAAATAATCAAGTGGATTTTCCACCCCACTCTCACGTTCACCTGGTCCACTTGACTCCTTCCTTCCCTGCCTCAACATCCGTTTTCCTTTCTGGGGTGAGGCTGGCCACCAACATCTACTACAAACCCACCGACTCCCACAGTTACCTTAACTTTACACACTCACACCCTGCTTCCTGTAAACACACTATTCCATTCTTCCAGTTACTCTGTTGCATCTGTTCTAATGATGCTGACTTTGTCGGGGGGTGGGGGATGCCCAGAATGTCCATCTTTTTTCCTCAACTGAGGACTCCTCAACACTCTAGTCTGGGTCTCACCCATCTCCCACACTTTGACCCTCACCCCCTCTCCTCCCTCCCACAACACCGATAGGGTCCCCCTTTGTCCTTACTTAGCATCCCACCAGCCCCCACATCCAAAGCGTCATGAGCCACCAATTACGCCAGCTCCAGCAGGATGCCACCAATAGGCACGTATCTCCCTTCCCTGTCATTCTTGTGCAGGGACTGTTCCCTCTGGGACACTTTGTTCTACTCTTCCTTCACACCCAACAGCCCCACGGCACCTTCCCATGCAATCACAGAAGGTGCAACATCTGTCCATTTACTTCCTGCCTCCTCAGCCTCCAAGGGCCCAAACACATCTTCCAGGTGTGAGTTATTACATTTTGATTACTAACTCACTCACAAGCACTGTATGTTTACTCTACCGTGTTTCTATTTATTCATTCATAAAACCGTGTTTTGCAGTACATTTTACTCTTACAAGATAAACTAAATTAAACATTCTTCCTAGACTGCCAACCCATTACTGTTTCTTTACACCTTTCAATTCCATTCAGCAAGCTGTGTTTAGACCTGTTTCTGTATCAAATGCTACCCCTTAATAGGTGTTAATACTGTAACCTACCTCAGAACAATGCCATCCCCACCATCATGTCTCTATGACTCACTCAGAGCTATGGAAAGATGATATTGTTAATTAGCCCTTAGTAACCATCTCTCAGGACCTGCATAGGCTGCAGGTCATTCCTCCACCACCAGATTATCTCAGATTTCCTAATACACTACCTAAAACACTAACCTATCTGTTTCTAAATTTTATTTAGGACTACCATCTTGTATTAATGTACAGATTTATACTTTTAAGTACATACTAAATAGGGCCACTACACTCTAAGAAACTTACTACAGAAAGTGCTTCTATGGAACTGCATGAATGAACGCGTCGGAACCGTCAAAAACCAGCAATAGTAAATGAATTGTGGATGAATAGTAGATGAAATCGCATCATGCAGCTGTGGGAGATCAGTTTTATATCCTCTACACTTATTTAGTACACATATAATTTCTCAGTTATTTAGATATAGGTCTAGTATTTCTACTAACATTACTAACTTTAAAGACAAAAGGACGAACACCTCTTAGTTATGCAAGCAGACAGCAGGTAGATACTCTAATTACACCAGGATTAACAGCCAGCATTTAGCACGTGCTAAACTATCTCCTGCTTGCACAGGACAGATCAATTGCAAACTTGTGTGCAATAGATACAACTATGTGACACCACAGTGCTAAAAGTCTAATGAATGTAAAAACTGTGGATAAGGGAGGCCACTGCAAAACTGTACTTTGGATTCCATCGCCGCCTCATTCGGTGCCACCGTGGAGGCTCAAAACAGAGGCTCTTTTCACTACTCACTGATCTTGCTCGCAATTGAACACGAAGCAGCGCTTTATCTATACTTCACTCAATCTAGTCTACTGTATTCGCTGCTCACAATGTGGTCTCCTCTACGGTGGAGAAATGAAGCATAGACCAAGTGACCGCTTCACAGAACACCTACATTGTGGACACAAAAAGAACCTGAGCTTCCAGTTGTCGGCCACTTCAACACCCCACTGTGTTCCCTGGACAACATGTCTGTCTCAGGCTTGCTGCAATGCTCCAGTGAAGGTGAGGGCAAGCTGGAAGAACAGCATCTAATTTTGCGCTTGGGAACTCTACAGCCTTCTGGACTCAATATCGAATTCAACAAATTTAGGGCTTGAGGCACCTTCTCCCATGTCCTTACCCCAACCCCCACACACCAGGCCTTGTCACCACATGGTCTGCTGTTACACACAACACACTGTTAGCCACGAATTGTCCCCATTAGTAGTTATTCCTTCTTCCAGGCCAACTATTGTCCACTCTTTTGTCTGAGAAACTGTTCTCGTCTGGCTTTGGGTTCTATTCCCCACCTGTAATTTGCTCATTACTTCCCAGCCCCCCGCCCGCCCTACCATCTGCATAAAAAACACCTTTTCCCCAGCTACCATCAATTCTGAGGAAGGGTCACTGGACCTGACATGTTAACTCTGATTGCTCTCCACAGATGCTGCCAGACCTGAGTTTCTCCAGCAATTTCTGTTTTTGTAGTCGATTGGAAGCTTTGTATCTGCAAAAACAAATTTAACCTTGGTTCTTGTAATAAATATTTGAGCTGTATGCCCTTTTCTTGAAACAAAAGAAATTGCTGGAGAAATTTGGTTTCCACACTCTAGGGATTCTATGATCTACAGGGTCAGTGTGGACTTGTTGGTCCGAAGGGCCCGTTTCCACACTGTCGGGATTCTATGATCTATGGTAGCATCTGTGAAGAAAACGCAGAGTTAATGTTTCAGATCCAGTGGCTCTTCTTCAGAACAACTGGACCCAGAACATTAACTGATTGCTGTCTACAGATGCACCACAGCTGGTGGGTTTTCCCAACAATTTCTGTTTTTGTTTCTCATTTCCAGCAACTGTAGTTCGTTTGGTTTTTTACCGTTTTCTTGAAGCGTACTTGTGTTTTTGAATCAACATTTGAACAAAGAAACCAGAGTCTCATCTGATCCAAGGGAAAACTAAAAGTTAAACTCACTCTTGCAGTGTCAATTGCAAAGAGCGCATGCAACTCCTGATGTCCTCCAAACAGCAGCTCAGGATATGGCTGCTACAGTCTTCCACCCATTGCAGTATATGGGACAAGGGAGCCACTGATTAAACTGCTGAGCAGATTTTAACAAAGCACAGTTTACAAACACAACATGAAACCCTGTCACCATTGACAGGGCATGAGTAAAAGGGCTGACAGGGGAAAATCGTAAACAGATGTCTGCTAACACTGCAAAATGAGGAAACCACACACACTGGAACAAATCACTCCAAAAGACAAAGGTTTGCACCAGACAAGTTTGGGTTTAATTCCAAACTACCAAGAAAAGAAAACTTTGTTTAATTTGTTAATTGATATCAAAGCTCACAAACAACACCAACGACCATTTCCAGAAGAGAAAACCTTGCTGTTATGATCTCTGGGTGCACAGTAATTAGAAAAGCAAGACAAGAGAGAGTCAGAGTATGTACTAACTCTGAAGCGCCTACAGCATTTAAAGGTACCTCTGGACCACTTGCAAACTGAAGCAAATCTTTCCAGAAGCACAAAAGGTCTCAAGAAGCAAACATGAAAAACAGTGTCAGCATTCAATGGTTTCCTCATGGCAGCCGTTATTGATGTTACCAATTGTATTTCAAGCATGAAGCCAACTCTAAGAGCCACCTTACATAACATCAAGGATATGGCTGCTCCGATACAAAGAGTGTTAGGAATATGAACGGAGCTCACAGATCACTTTTACTCACATGCATTTGTATTTGGTATATTTCCATCTGATGTGTGGAGGTCCAAAACCACCACCTATTCCAATACTTAGCACACACAAGTTATTTTCAGGAACCAGTCAATTTTATTAAAGATCATTTGGTGTTCACTGACACAGAACAATACAGAATGCTTTCATACTAAAGGAGGTTTAAATGTCTTGTCAATCAAAGGACAAAATTATAAAATAGTCAGAAGTTATGTTGCACCACATTAACTTGGAACAAATTGTCGCCCCTCACAGAAACTAAGGATAAACAACACACAGCTCACAATTCTCTCGGCTCATCACGTTTATGTCATCTTTTCAGCAATAACGCTGTCTTCACTACACTCGTTCTAAGGCTTCAAGCATAATAATGCTGTTCCCTCGAATAACCTAATGGATTGAATGGAAACAAAATTAAAATGTGCATTGAAAGAAAACTAAACGCAAGTTCATTTTGGTGGTGGAACATTACGCCAAGACCAAGCTTCTGTTTCTCAAACATTCTGTACCGGAGTTGTCAGCTCCAAGATGGTGTTGACAATAATGTAGGAGAACTGGACAACGATGGAAAGTAGAGCAAAGATGCTGTTTCACTAAGGCAGGAACAATTAAATTGCTATGGTGCAATGCAGTGGACATTCCCCTTCACCAGTGAGGGACCAAAAGAGCAAACTCCTTCTCTTCCATTTGTAAATTGTGTAAGAGGTCTGAAGGAACAAGCGACTGCAACAGAGAACAGCCACATCGTTTGAACAGGGGGAGAGATACATAAAGGAGGACCACTATCCAGGGAAGCATATCAAGGCAGAAAAAGAACAGAAATAGTAGGAACTGCAGATGCTGGTGAATCTGAGACAACAAGGTGCAGGGCTGGATGAACACAGCAGGCCAAGCAGCATCATAGGAGCAGAGAGGCTGACGTTTCGGGCCTAGACCCTTCTTCAGAAAAGATGAACGTCTCAACTCTACGCTGCATGCGCACACCTTCCTGGTTTTCAGTTGAGGGGATCTCAATTCAACTGCCAAGGCACAACCATGTTTTCATTGTTAAACACAAAATGAATACACAATTCTGCTCCAACAGCATCACCACAGCTCAAAAATATTGAAAGGTGGATAGCCCTCGGTGGGTTACAAAATAACAAGGGTATTTTAACATTGGTTCCCAAGTAAAATCCACAGTATTTGTACGAGTATTTATAAACAAGTGCTGTATTCTCAGTGTACACTGGACATTGTAGAGATGGTGTATTGTACGCTTAGAGTAAAGGGAAGACCTTTTAGAGCGGAGACAAGGAGAAACTTCTTCAGCCAGTGAGTGGAATTCTGCCACAGAAGGCTGTGGGGGCCAGGTCATTGAGTACATTTAAGACTGAGATAGATAGATTCTTAATTGTCAAGGGGATCAAGGGTTACGGGGAGAAAGCAGGAGAATGGGGTTGAGGAACTTATCAGCCATGATTGAATGGCAGAGCAGACTCGATGGGCTGAACGGCCTAATTTCTGCTCCTATGTCTTATGGATTCAGGTTTTTGGACAATAGGAATCTCTTTTGAGAAAGAAAAGACCTGTTCAAAAAGGATGGGTCTAACCTGAATGTAAAGGGACCAACATCTTAGCAGGGAGATTTACTCATTCTATTAAGGGAGACTTTGTACTGATACAAAGGGGGAGTACAGGAATTCTAAATCGCAGTAAAAATAGAAAGATTAATGGCAAAGGTTCTCATTGTGAAGACAGCACAGTAATTAGAAAAGCAAGACAAGAGAGAGTCAGAATATGTAATACTCTGAAGAACTAAACTGCATGTATTTCAATGCAAGGGGTCTTACAGGTAAGGCTGATGAACTCAGGGCATGTTTAAGAACAGGGGATTGGAATGTCATAGCTATTACAGAAACTTGGCTGAGAGATGACAGATCTGGCAGTTCAATGTTCCCGCTTTTAGAAGCTAGAGGAAAGATAGGAAAGGAGGCAAGAGTCGGGGTGGGGGCTTTTATTTAGGGAATTCATTACTGCTGTAACTAAACAAGGTCTTTATGAAAAATTATCCAGTGAAAATAAACAGATTGAAATTAGAAATAAGAAAGGAAAGAGCATCTTGATGGGATTGTATTATAGGCACCACCACCACCACCACCACCACCCGGCGCCCCTCCCCCATACTAAGGAGGAAATTGAGAAACAAATGTGGGGAGATCTCAGATATATGGAGGCCTAATAAGGTTGTAATAATGGGGGAATTTAATTTTCCAATCATTGACTGGGACTACCATAGTTTAAGGTTTGGATGGTGAAGAATTTGTCAAATGTGTTCAAGAAAATTTTCTTAACGATATGTGGATACTCCTACTAGAGAAGGAACAAAACTAGATCTTCTTTTAGTTAACAAGCACAGCAGGTGACTGCAGTAAAAGAAAGACAACACTTTGGGCCTAGCGATTATAATTCTGTCAGTTTCAAAACAGCTGTGGAAAAGGATAATCCTTCCTTGAAAGTTAATGTTTGTAACTGGAGTCAGCAAATTTTAACAGTAAGTGACAAAAACATTCAAAAGTTGATTGGAGTAGACTGTTCAGCTGGACAGAGAGTAGGGACCCTTAAAGATCAAGGTCATTGTTTTTGCGTTGACTTCCAAGAGATGGGAGAGATAGTAAGTCAATATTTTGTCAGTTTTTACGGAGGAAAAAGAAACAGAAGCTAAAGAATGCAGAGAAATAAATTTTGATGTTTTCAAATCAGTTCACATTACACAAGAGGAAGTTCAGGAGGTCTTCGAAAATATATAAGTGGATAACTCTCTGGGACCTGATCTAATGTATCCCAGAATGTTGTGGGAATTGTGGGAATTAAGGGAATAAATAGCAAGAGTATTTGCAGAAATATCTGCATCATCTTTTGACGAGGGACAGTCAGCATGGTTTAGTGAGAAGAAAACTGTATCTCAAAAACTGGAGTTTTTTGAGCAAATCACCAAAAAGATTGATGAGACGTTGCAGAGCAGTAGATGTTGTTTATTTGGATTTCAACAAAGCCTTCGACAGGGTTCCACATCGTAGACTAATTAATAAAGTTAGGTCACATGGGATTCAGAGTGATCTTGCCAATTGGGTACATAGTTGGCTCATCAGCGGAGTAATGGTGGGGGGTTGCTTTTCGGACTGGAGGCCTGTGAGCAGCTCTTCTGTTTGTCATTTATATATGAACGATTTGAATGAGAATATAGAAGGCATGGTCAGATTTTTGGATGACATCAGAATTGGTGGCATAGCAGAGAGTGAACAAAACTTTCCAAGATTATAAAAGGTATCGTGATCAAATGGGTCAATGGATTGAAAAAACGGCAGATACAGTTCAATCTGGATAATGCAAAGTATTGCATTTTGCGACAACACAAAGGGGTAGGGCTTATACAATTAATGGTAGGGCCTTGGGTAGTGTTGTAGAACAGAGGAACCTAACGGTTCAGATACATAATTCTTTGAAGTCTGCGTCACGTAGACAGCACGGTTAAAAAGGCATATAGCACGCTTGCCTTCATTGCTCAGTCCTCCGAATATAGGAGTTGGGAAGTCATGTCGAGGTTGAACAGGACATTGGTAAGGCCTCTTCTGGAATGCTGTGTCCAGTTCTGGTCACCCCCGTCATAGGAAGAATATTATTAAGCTGGTGAGGGTTCTCAAGAGATTTACCAGGATGTTGCCAGGTATGGAAGGTTCGAGTTGTAAAGAAAGGCTGGATAGGCTGGGACTTCTTTCACTGGAGGGTAGGAGGTTGAGAGGTGAGCTTATACAAGTTTATAATATAATGCCAAGTTAACAGTACTTGTGTTTTCCCTCGGATGCAGGATTTCAAGACTGGGGGCACATTTTTAAGAAGCGAAAGATTAAAAAAAAAACACGAGGGGTAAACAGAAAAAAGTTCACGTGTGGAATGAACTTCCTGAGGAAGTGGTGGATGGGGGGTGCAATAACAACATTTCAGACTTTTGGATAAGTACACAAATAGGAAGGGCTTGGAGGGAATTGAGCCAGGAGCAGGCACGGTGGGAGTAGTTTAGTTTGGGATTGTGTTCGGCCTGGACTGATTGGACCAAAAAATCTGTTTCCGTGCTGTATGACTACGACTGTTCAGTTCTGTTCTAAAACAGGGGCCGGGGTTATTTTGGGTCACCCAGGATAGGGCCACTGAAGAGGAGTTCAAACGATGAAAGAGACAGAGTAGACTCCCTGTTTGACTTGCTGCTTTTGAGCTGTACATTGCCAAGTTAACTGACATATACGGGTTCTGTGTTGGGGACTAAGAATAAAATCAAGACAAGTTGGATGTCTATGTTTTGTCAGAAATCAGCAGGAAGTCCCGAGATTAGTGGGCATCTTGATGTTGGGAGTTAGAACTCAGTTGTTCTCAGGAGCTGAGAAAATGGGAAGGTCGCTGGCTCTGAGTTGGTGCAAACTGCGAGGAACTCAACAGAAACCTGTAAGCACAAATACCTCAGTGCAGCTAAAAGTGCAGATTAAAGAACTCACATGCAGTGTTTCTGCTGGATGCAACTGCACGAGATCGGGCCCCACGAGAATACAGCAGCTGTCATGACTTGGTGAAGCTCATTATTTTGTCAAAAGGTGGTGCTGTGTCTGAAGGAGCATAGTTTCCAGAGTCCAGGGGAGTATGGGCCCAGGAAAGGAGAGCAACTGACTGGAACAGGAGCAGTTACTGAGCAAGTCCGTGACAGAATGGCTTGAAATGAAACGTGAAGAGCAAATCAACAGAAGTGAAGAAATGTAATGCCCTGTGAAATTTCATCAGACTTCATGTGTGTTGTATTGAGGGAAGAGGGGGATGCTGAGTAACTTGTGAGACTTGCCTTGATCCATTTATTGTTTGAATTGTGTTCTGGGATGCTTGATCATGGTATAACCAATATTTCCCTATGTTAAATCCTGGGTGTAAGAAAAAAGTTGCACATGCTGATTATATCAGTCATAACATGTTATGTCAATTTTATTGTTGTTTGTTGAAAACCACATGGCTTTCTTCTCTAAAGTCCCCAGTCCTCCCATTTCATCGCCTTGAAGTTTCGGACTGCTCGCTAGACCATAATATGGATTTGTATTTTGCTCTGGGATCACAACAGTCAGTACCTGTCGAAGGCCAGCTTGTGCCTCCAATGACCCACTGAATCTCCCTGTGGGTGGCTCTCAGTTGTAGGCTTTCCTGAAATCCCTCGTGTCAGGGTAATGCAGAATTAAGTCTGCGGTTGAACTAGTTGAAGAACTCAAATGGGAACAAGTGAGTTACATGTCCAAATAAAGAGGAGAAACTTGATACTTACCACCATGCCAATGTTGTTCTGCTGTCCACCAGGCGCCATCTCAACCGACTCATCCACCACAAGATTCATGAAGGGGTCGAAGCCTCGCAGAATTCCTTGTACATGCCTCCCACCATTCAGTTTTACTGAATGAGAAAATAAAGCCTCATGAGACTTGCAACAAAAGTTTCAGTTGACAGCATTTCCATTTCTCTTGCAAAGCTGTGATGTGCTTTGATCTCTGCACTGACCATGAGGAACTCAGTCAGTTCCACAATTGGTCAATGCAGAGCTGGCCAGAAAACTGATTGTCTACCTGGTTCTGCCAACAAAATCAACCAACAACTCACTGACACTTATGATGTCAGTACCGCCGCCTCTCAATCTTCAGTACAACGTGTTGCGAACTTGGGTGGAGGACTTGTAGATTGGGAATCAGGAAGTTAGAATCTGGGGTCTGTAAAACGCTAGGCAGGGTTGGGGGTGGGGGAGGGGAAGAGCATTGACTGGTCCCTTTAAATGATGATGTACTTGTTCTACGCTTCGAGATTTTTTTTTAACAAAAACAAGTCTATGAGCAGCTTGAAAGTTTGCAGGTACAGAGCACACTCAAATTGAAACATTTGCATCGAAAGGCCATACAGTTAACAGGCCAAGCAGCAGTTCTGATTTGTTACCAAGACAAGTTTTGAATATAGCCCTTCGATTTGAACCATACGATTAGATACCAAAAACAAATCCTAGGACCAATCCTAGTGTAAGAAATTGATACGTCATCAAGGGTATAAATGAAGACAGCAGTGGACAAAGAGGCAGAACTGACTGTCATCTGCCAGAATTAACAGTGAGAGCCAGCGATCTCACAGACTCCTCCAAGTCTGAGAGAAATCACCATCTAAACAACAAAGATACCCACAGCACAACTAGTGAATATTCCTGACACAAGAATCGATGGAGAAGGCATAGAATCTTGCTGTAATTTCGAGACACTAAATTCTACATTTTTTTTGCTGTCTACAGGTGAGACTTGTATTTATTGGAA